TCTGTTCCTCTAATTTCAATGTAAACATTCCCAACGCCAAAATTAGTGGTAGTAATTTTGAGTTAGTAGAAAACTTAGAAACATTAACTTTTCCACTAACTATAGATACTTCAATATTTGTAAATCAAGCATGCATTCAGAACCTCGCAGTTAGTGGAATGAATTAGTTGTTTCAATTACGCTTTATACTTTTTTTTTTTTTTTTTTAAAAAACACAATTAAAAAATAGAATATCCTAGCAACAGCTTGCGGTAATCAGTTGTATCCATAGATAAAGCCAAAGATATTTAAACTCGGGAGATACAACGATCCATTCATAAAACGCTCTAAACCTTCATCACACATTGGTTTGCGAAAATCAACGAGTGCGAGAGAGAATGGACAAAGAAGGGAATAGGGTATCGGCGCAACGGCAACAATGTAGTTGTTTACAAAGAATAGACGGTTGAGGTCAATTTTCCAGTGGCGTGCCGATCAACCGACAGTATTTTAAGGAAATTTAAACAATTGTTTAATAAATTTAAAAAATAATAATAACACTTAACATATTTGCCGCATTGTAAAAAGTTGAGGGAGGATACTAATAGGAAAAAAATAAGTTGAGGGAGGATAGCGAAACAAATAAAAACCGGCATAATTTTTTATTATAAGATGTCTTTTCACATAAGAATAACGATTAAAAATCAATAAGCGTTTTACTTTATTTTATTAAATAAAATATCCAAATTTTGGGTGTATTAGTAAATGCAGTTTCAATATCTTATTCCAAACCTTGTTCATCTCCAGTGAATGAGACTCCCTCTATTAGCAATAACAAAAATAAAATAAGTTATTTTAACCTAGTAACACAATATTTTTACCAAAAACTTAATATTTGTAGACTTCACATATTTTGATAAAAACTTTATTATTATATATGTATATTTATTATATACCTATATGAATTAAAATATGTGTCTAAAGGGATCGCACCGCGATTAAAAAAACCGATACAATGACACAAAGTACCAGAGTGGTGTGACCCAAAAAACAAAATAGAAAATAAAATTAAATTATATAACAATAAACAGAAATTAAAAAAAATAAAATTTGATAAAAAAAGTGAAAATATAATTTTATCAGGGATGAGCGGAGATAAGCAGAGAGGCATAACGAAACAGTGTAATCGGAACAGCAACCAATGACAGGCATATGAGAAGAACAAGAACCTCACAAACCAGTCGAAGAAATTATAATTTTTCCTTAATGATTTATTGTTGTAATTTAAGTAAATGATTTTTAATTTGTTTTTGCAATCTAATAAAGTTGAAATTTAAAGTTATTAGAAATATTATTCCACAAATGTGGCGCTGTGAAACTGAAAGATTTTTGGAAGTTAGTTGTTCGGTGTTGAGGAATTTTAAAATAATGCACTTGCCTAGTCGAATGATCATGGTCAACGTAGTGAAACAATGAGAACAAATAGGGAGTCTGCTCTGTAGTTAAAATTCGATAAATGAATGTCTGGAGCGTCTTTTTCAATGATGTTTACCTTTTATATACAGCTACAGACAATAAATCGAGTGTCTTTGTCAATATGGTCTTTATTTCTAATTTACTGAATAACACGACAACAGAAAAATGGCAGTGCGATGCACTCCCCCTTTAAGGCCAGGCAATACTAAGTTTTTGTAAGCTTTTCGGCTGCGCTGTGGGCCTACGTGACTTCTGCCTTCTGCCAGCGACGCGCTCCCCGCCGGCGGCGATCAAGGTCCTGCGCTAAGGCCTTGTACGCATCGTACGTCGTACGGCTTTCAAAAACCCAACATGCCGCCCCCCTTGAAAGCTTGTCTTTCAAAAACCTTAACCCTAATTCCTAAAATCTATTTTAAACACTAAATCCTTAATGTTCCTAAAATTCTTATTAATTACTGTCTTCAAATGGTAGAACACATACACGAGAAGTAGACCTCTTTATTAAACCACTCGCGGTTTTAAGCGACACAACACGACATATCCCGTCACTACCCGTGTGTAACTCCACTACTCGTCCTAACTGCCATTTCATGGGCGGAGTGTTATCTTCTTTCACCAACACCATGTCATTAATCTTTATAGAGTCCGCTCTTATGCGCCACTTAGATCGCTGTTGCAAGTTACCCAAATACTCCGTTTGCCATCGTTTCCAAAAACTTTGGATAAACTGAGTCAATAACTGATACCTTTGTAAGCGATTTGGATTATGACCTTTTATATCTTCTTGAGGTAGAGCAGAGGGTGAGCTACCCATTAAAAAATGACCTGGCGTTAAAATTTCCAAATCATCCGCAGATTCACTTACAGGAGTAATTGGCCGGGAATTCAGACATGCCTCCACTTGGATTATCACTGTATACAACTCTTCAAACGTTAACTTCTGATCATTTAAAACCCTCTTTAGATGGTACTTTGCGGATTTCACCGCAGACTCCCACAAACCCCCAAAGTGCGGCGAACGCGGTGGAATGAAATATACCATTTATAAATATTGTTCTTGTAAGAAATACTGTGAGAAAACCTCCTGGTTACCCTTATCCTGTAAAAATCGACTAAGTTCCGTAAGTTCATTATTAGCCCCTATAAAATTTGTCGCATTGTCGGAGTACACATTCCTACAAAGTCCCCTACGTGCGATGAACCTCTTAAAGCAGTTAAGAAAAGCTTGAGTCGTTAGATCAACGACCAATTCTAGGTGGACCGCCTTAGTCGCGAAGCATATAAAGACGCATAAATACGCCTTGGTAATAACAGGTTTTCTAACTGTGCCTGATTTAACAAAAAATGGCCCTGCGTAATCAACCCCACAATTTTCGAATGGCCGACTTGGAACAATACGACTACTTGGTAACTCCCCCATGTATTGCCTAAAATCCCTTGGTTTCGCCCTAAAACATACAATACAACGCGATAAAACACTTCTTATTGTTTGACGACCTAATATGGGCCAGTATTTGAGACGCATTACTGCTAAGAGCGCCTGCATGTAAATGCTTGTAGTGCTCACATAGAATGATTAAACGCGTGACGTCGTGTTTATTTGGAAGTATTACCGGAAACCGCTGATTATAACTAAGATTAGCCTTGGCTAGCCGACCTCCTACCCTTAATAGCCCATCCTTGTCCAAAAATGGATTAAGAGACAAAATTCTACTTCGTCTATCCAGCCCGCATCCCCCTTCTATGGCCTTAATTTCAGCACCAAAAACTTCACGTTGAACTAATGTGATTACCACTGTCCATGCTTTATCAAGTTCCTGTACCGTTAATGGACCTATTCTAGGTGGTTCCCCTCTTTTAGAAGCCCTGCACAATTTTGCCAAAATCTTAAACAATAAAGAATGTTCGAAGCCATTTATTGGGGTGTTCGAGAACCTTCTAAGCACCTTATTAAGATCCGTCACGATATATGAATGTTTTACTATCTTCTGCTCAGGAATAACATCAACACTAGGAATCTGAGTTTGAGGAAAGTAATTCTCTTCGCGAGATAACCAGAATGGGCCTTCCCACCATAATGAATTTACACTTAAGCTGTCACAGTCAGTACCTCTGGAGACCAAATCCGCCGGATTTTGCTCTGATGGTACATGACCCCATTGGTTGCCTCCCGTGAGGTTTTGAATCTCCGCGACCCTATTTGCCACGAACGTTGTCCAAGTCGAAGGTTCCCTTGACAACCAAGACAGCACAATGGACGAATCCGACCAATACCTTATTTGAGACGGATTTATATCGATCGCTTGTAAAACTGCCTTAACCAACTTAGCCAACAAAAGAGCACCACATAATTCTAATCTGGGAAGAGATATTACTTTAAGTGGAGCAACCCGTGATTTCGAACATAACAACCTTACGTGACAATCTCCCTTCTGGTCTACTGATCTCACAAAAATACAAGCCCCGTAAGCCTTCTGCGAAGCGTCGCAGAAACCATGTATCTGAAAATCCCTAGACCCTGTGCATATAACCTGCCGTTCTATTTGAAACACCTTTAGTTTCTGAAATTCCTCTCTCAAATTTAACCATGGAACTAGAACCTTGCGGAACTTCCTCGTCCCAACCTACCTTTTCCTTCCATAATAGTTGAAGTACAAGTTTAGCTTTAATAATAACAGGAGCCAACAGTCCCAAAGGATCGAATATCTGCGATATCAATGACAAAATTATGCGTTTGGTTACCTTATTGTCCAATAAAACACCATAATCTTCAGGACAATCGTAGTGCAAGGTATCTAGGTGTGGATTCCATCTGATACCTAGTGTTTTCGAAGTGCTATCTCCTGATATATAATGCTCCACATTTGGCTCATCGCAGGTTAACAGAGTTTCTGGTTTATTAGAACTCCATTTTCTCAGGATAAAACCACCCGAAGCTAACACCTGACTGATCCCTTTCTTAATCTCTCCAGGCTTCTTCCATGTATCTTGCCCCCTGTCGAGAGATCAAGCCCATGTAAAGAGATCCTTCATGATTTGCTTTATTATCCTCACACTCCGAGAGTTGTTGCAAACATTTTACTGCCAAATATCCTGAACATGCCATCCCATAAGTAATCGTGTTTAACTTAAAATGTCCGATGGGTTCATACGGGTTGAATCTCCATAAAATTCTTTGCAGATCCTGATCCTCCTCCGCAACCCAAACCTGCCTAAACATTTTCTCCACATCAGCTGTTATGATTACTGCATATTTCCTAAGACGTACTAGTATATCAAAAATATCATCTTGCAGCTTTGGACCAACCATTAGCTGATTATTTAAAGACACTCCAGTGTTAGTTGGTGCGCTGGCATCAAAAACAACTCTTAGCTTGGTGGTCAGTGATGTTTTCTTAATAACCGCGTGATGTGGAAGATAATACGCCACCGGTTCATTAATTTCCTTATCCGAATATACTCTAGACATATGGCCCAATGAAAGATATTCTCTTATGAATGCGTGATACATTTCCTTCAATTCATTGTCCCTTTCTAATTTTTTCTCCAATGAAGAAAACCTTTTTATCGCCACATTGACTGAATTGCCTAACTCTGGTACCCCGACACGTATTGGCAACTTGACAACGAATCTGCCATCTTCGCTTCGTTTCGTCGTTTCCGCGAAAAATCTTTCACATTCTTCTTCTTCCCTTGTTAGTCGTTTCTCATAACCTATTTCTTCTAGAGCCCAAAATTTTTCTAACTGCCCCTGAACCGAACAGTTAGATGAGAAATGACACCTTTCTGGTTGTGATTGCTTATGCACTTGCATTTGTCCTGATTTTAAATGCATAGTCCCAGCAATCACGAATCCCAGCTTCGTTCCATGAAGTAGAGGCTTACCTTTACCTAATTCAACCTTCTCTGTGCCCAAAATGGACCAAAACACTGAAGCACCCAACAGCATATCGATCTTACCTGGTTCACCACAAGATGGATCCGCCAAATTAATGTTTTCAGGTAAGATTGAAACGATTTTAAATCAGCTACTAACCGAAGAAGGAATGTTGTTAGAAATCTCATCGATTACCAGACGTCAGCATTATATTGCGAATGAGTCGAATAAATCCTTGCAACTACCGAGTGATCAATGTTCATGGTTCCGGACCCTATACCCATAATTGAACTGTTTATCCTTTTCATTGGAAGCCTCAATATATCACGAAACGCCTTGGTCACGAATGAAGACTGTGACCCGCAGTCTAACAACGCCCTACACTCATGCCATTTACCTTCTATATCCTTAACCCTTACAACTGCAGTAGACAAGAGAACCTCCGTAATTTCCTTTTTTACACCTTGCATCTCGAGACCTTTATCTTCACTACTATGACCGTTAAATACCTTTGAGTCACCTCCTTCCGCTGCGCCTTCCTTGGAATCCCGAGTTTCCTTACCTGTGTGCTGATTATCATGCAGCAGAAGATGATGTTTTCCTTTACAACGCCTACAACCTCCAGATGTACATGCATGCACCCTGTGTCCCAGTTTGAGACATTTCCAACAAGCATTTGACCTTGACACCACTCTCCTCTTGTCCTCCAACGACAAATCCAAAAATTGTTTACATTGCTGTAAACAATGTTCATCTGCCTTACAAAGTATGCAACTAAATGTTTTAGTTGTAGATCGGGGAGGGGGTAGGTGAGGTTTCCCTTTTCCTTGGTCATCAGTATTTGAAGATCTGATATTGGTTTCCCATACTGCACATTTGTTTACCAAAAATTTAAAAAATCATTTTTTTTTTTTATTTTTTTTAATAACTACTTTTTTCCTTATACTATGCTACAGCTCTCTGTTTATTCCATTTTCGATTAAAGCAAGTAAATTAGTATTGGATCCCAGTGTTCTACGCCTAAACCCAAAGTTTTGAGTACCCTTAAATCTTTACGCAGCTCATCTAACATTTTCCTTAACCCGGAATGAGACTCCTTGGTAAGACCCGGTATATTGCAAATAGAGTCAATATGACTAAGAGCGATTAACTTTTATTTTAAACCTTTCCCCCAAAAAGATCCCATGCAACCTGATAATTTTCTGAAGACACCTCCAAAGAATGGATCACATCAGCCGCCGTACCCTTAAGCGCCCCTTTTAGATAATAAAATTTTTGAATATTAGTTAAAGACAAATTCGAATCTACTAAGGACTTAAAAGAATCGTGAAATTCCAACCACTGCTTGTATGAACCATAAAAGTTAGGTACTTCCATTGGTGGAAGACGTACTTCCGTTCTTGGAGCAGTTGAGTCCTGTGTACTCCCACCGTGCGCAAGTAAATTTAGGCGACCAAGAATGTCAAAATACTTTGTACCAAAATCATCGCGTTCAGCCACTTGCTCATCCGAATTATCCAGGTCCTCGATTTCGTCCTGGATGCTTTCAAATTCATCCCACCACGCCTCCGCTCTTTTAAGACGTATCGAAATCTCATGATGCTTAGAGGAGTCATAATTCTGAATAAAAGTTTCTAACCGTGTAAGCTGCCCTTTAATATTTCCCCTTTTTCGAGTCAATTTAGCTAGATCAGTCATCTTGACCCTTTACCTTAACCTTTACCTTAAAACCTTAACCTTTACCTTAAAAACCCTTATGAATTACCTTAGAACCTTACCCTAAAATTATCCTTAAATCTGACACAGATTCTTAACCCAAGTGCGCTGTCTTTACAAACCGTCCCTTACAAATATAAAACACAAATCAATTTAATAACTTACAAAAATAATATAAAGAAATGGTACGTAAATTTGGAAAAACTGGACTTATAAATAACGAAATCTATTTAGAATTTAACCTTTTGTCCACCTTAATAACAAAAATACAAACAATAATTAATTTAATGCACAAAATAATATGAAGCTCACCATCAAACAATTATATGTACCAAACCACATCAAAAGTAAATACTTATTTGTCAACTAAATCAACCATAAATATCTGTTTTTCGAATAAATCAAGCAAAAAAATATTTATTTTTAAAATAAGCCAAACGAAAAATATTTATTTTGACAAATATAAATCAAATTTTTTTTAATATAAAATTAAAATTTGCTCACCCTGTTGCGCACTGCACCTACCTCGGTCAGTATCCAATCTGTGTAGATAACCTTCAAATTTTCTTAAATGTCCTTAAACCTTAAATTTCCTTAAACCATATAAATGTCCCTTGACCTTCCTTAAATTCCCTTAACCTTCCTTAAATGAGTATTAGCCTGGTAGTCCTTAAAGTCACTGTATTATTTGTATTTCCTTGATGCACTGACCTGTTCCTTTTCTTCGATAAAAGTAGCCTTGTAGCCGTATCCTTTCCTTAATTGGACTTTTCCAATTATCCGGCTCGAAGGACCATAAATGGAGCGTCTTTTTCAATGATGTTTACCTTTTATATACAGCTACAGACAATAAATGGTCTTTATTTCTAATTTACTGAATAACACGACAACAGAAAAATGGTAGTGCGATGCACTCCCCCTTAAAGGCCAGGCAATACTAAGTTTTTGTAAGCTTTTCGGCTGCGCTGTGGGCCTACGTGACTTCTGCCTTCTGCCAGCGACGCGCTCCCCGCCGGCGGCGATCAAGGTCCTGCGCTAAGGCCTTGTACGCATCGTACGTCGTACGGCTTTCAAAAACCCAACAATGTCATTAAATGAAATTATTACAAATCTAAACAAAATTATTTGATATTATAATACAGTCATCAGAAAAGTCTAGCGATAATTTTAGAAAATCATAAATAAATTTCGAGTCAAATTGTCGTTAGGAAATGCATGTTACCATTTCCTAACGACAATTTGACTCGAAATATAAAATTTGTGGGACCAAATTATTCGTAAAAAAAATACTTCTTTCCTTCCTAAATATGCTAATTAATTATTTCTTCCTAAATATGATAATGAGCCACCCTCGTTCCATTTGAAAAAAAAGAGATATGATTAAAAATACGATTTGGGTATATTTTAACCGGCCAGGACACTAAAAACATTAGACGATCAAATTTATTTTTCCAAGGCTCCTTGATTAAAAATTACTGTTTTTAACACAGCCATAGCACACTAGATTAAAATTTAAAATACAATTTTGTTTTAAGCGATAATGTCAAAAGTTAACATATGATATGTCAATCTATTCAGAGTGTCATTTTCTATCGAATAAAGTAAAAAAATACCGAGGGTGCTATTCAAAAATCAAAAGTAGTAGTCATTTCCGGTGAAACAGGAAGTGGCCTAAAAGAATTGAATACCTACATCAATCAATCCTAATTTTTATTATATACTAAAATACCAAATCTCGTTCTTTGTCTGAAAAAATAAAAAAGTTATAGGGGTTGAGTCACTTTTGAGACGCACCCAGTATATGGAACAGAGCCTTTATGTAAAAATACGAATTTTCATTTTCGTTTTTTTCTAGCATTTTCGAAATATTTTTTATGTTATCTAGGTACTTAGATTTATATTATTTAAAGTACAAAAACATACATATACTTTTAAATTTATCTAAACTTTTTTTTGAAACAACTATTCATCGGTCGATATAACATCCTTCACATTTCAAAAATTTTGTAACTCATATTTAGCCTCCGGTCTAGAGGAAGCCATCTAAAATGTATCCGGCAGGCGGAATCGCAAGGATACCAACGCACAGAGAGCAACCGTTTTGACCTATTTTTTTCCATTGACGGTTTGTGAGGTATTTAACAAACGGCCTTACTTTAATTAGGTCAAGATAAAAGCACGTTATATCGGATAATGAAATGCGCGTATTATGTGCTGCGGTATTGTCTCGTCCGCTGTGATAATTTAGGCCATCTTTAAAAAAAATCATGTTTTCTATTAAGCGTTAAAAATGACAAGGTTTGCACATTGATAACAATAGGCAAGGAAACTTGTATAAAAAGTGAACGAGTGACTTTTTTAATCCTTTTTTAAAGCCGTAAAATATTTCGAGCACTATTAAAAATTAACTCTTAAACAGTGGCGGCTCGTCAGGGTAGGCGGCGCCTACCCTAAGATTTTGGCAGAATTTAAGCCATTTATTACATTACATTATTTACTCTATTAACGTTGCCAATACATAAAAATACTGTTAATACACGGAAGTGTGTTTTAATAATCAATATTATTTTAATATCTGTGGTCTTGTATACTAACATATTCACTACCGCTAGCGTACGCTGACTGTGCCGCTGCGTTATGGTGCGTTTAGACTTGAGCACGCACGAGCTGAGCGTGCGCGCACGGCATTCGTTCGCGCTCTCGGCTCCGTTCTAATTAAAAACTTATTTTTCGACGAATGAAGTGATCCATTTGTGCGCGCACAGCAGAGTTGTGTTGGCGAAAATAATGGGTGACCAGGAAATAGTCGAGACTGCAGTCATTGTTATGCACAGCTTAATTATTAAAAAGATGAAAAATCGAAAACATCGTCGCTGGTAGCAAACCCAAATTTTTAGAAATCGATATAATTTACTGCAACAACTTAGTGTCTGAGGAGGGCTATGATCAGTTCAAAAACTTTACAAGAATGACCAGGCCCGACTTTGAATATTTACAAAATTTAATAACACCAAAAATTACGAACAAAAGATACAATTTTTAGAATAGCAATTTCATTAATATCGACATATTCAATATTAATTTTATTTACAAGGTTTTGCCATGAGGTTTTTTTTTGATTTTTTAATAATACAAAGAATGTTTAACATCCGATAATATAGGCAACTTTTCATATTTTTCAATTAATAATAACGAAGATTCATTGATCCACTCCATAATTTTAATAAAGAAAACGAAAAAAAAATACACACGCACGCACGAACGCAGACAAAACAAATTGCCGGTGCAAATTGAGCGTTCGCGCACACATAAAATCCCTTTGAGCACAGACCAAAAACCGACACCAGACTTCTGACGTTCGCGGCTGTTCGAGCACAGACAGATTCAGAGTGAGCGTGCGCGCACAGCCGTTTACACTTGAGCATTTGCGGAGGATCAGTGCGTACGTGCTCAAGTCTAAACGCACCATTAGAAAACAAAATAATTTTGACCGTTGGACCGTTGGAGTGCCTTTGTTCGGCGATTTCCAATCGCCTACTATCAGAGTCGATGCACGACATACGACAGTCTTCTGTCTCTGTCTAACTCATCGTGCGGTAACGACGCGACGTAAGTCGGAGTTGTATCGTATTAAGGCGGGGTTTAGGCGGAATCTCCGGTCGCCTTCGCATGAAGTCGTGGAGGCTCGGTAGGCTGAGAAGTTAAAGGGATATATCATAAGGAGATATGTCACATTTCGTTAAGGGGATATTTCATATGATTCATTATATGCAGCATTTAAAACTTCTATATAACAATTCAAAAAACGTTTAAAGCAAATTGGAAACATTTTTCGGGCTTGTCCGAGATTATTAAAAATGATATAACCGGTTGTATTTCAGAACACGCCACAGAAATAAAAGAACCCAAATGAAAATAAGCGCGTTATTTTATTCGGTGCAAGAAGACGATACAACAGATATTACAGAAAAGTCTCTGTGCTATTTCAATTTGAAATGTTAATAAAAGCGGCTAAGTCAAATATCTTTGCGTCATTAACAATTAGCATCATATTCTATTTACAAAAATTTAAGTACGATGTTGTAGTTTTTTCTTTTTATATGTTTTTTTTTTCAGTGTAAAAATGAAACAGAAAAAAGTGATGGTAGTATTCTGAGGTTATCCCTAGGGATATTCCTAAATTTTTTTTCGGATTAACAATGTTTTCATATATTTGCATTGCATTATATGGTTTCAAACAATAACATCAAATCAACAGGGAAAAATTAACCAAAACATAAGGCGAAAAAATAATTATAGTTGGCCAACCCCCAAACCAAACCAACACTGGTTTTTGGTGTTACACAGCAAAATAAAACACAAAATCACCACAATACACCAAAATACTTTTATATTACATTGGACGCGCCTTTCGCTAACAATGTTAGCATCATCAGCAGATGATTAAAACTGGAAAAATACGTTAAAAAATACACCCGGGCTTCTCTGGGTCAATCTAACCCTGCAAAAGTCTCATACAAAAAACTATACCAAATTTCTAAAGCATCCGATACTTTTTGAGGAGAAAGACCTTTAACTGAATGCAAATATTTAGGCGAACTATTTGAAATTCCTCTTCCGCTTAGATCCACTAATATCCAACCTCGGTCGAGTGAACCGTTTCTGAACTTTCTAAAAAAAAACAGCATTAATCTTAACCCTGGATCCGTAAAGCATGTCTGGGTCATCTCTCGGATCGACTGTTGTTGAATATTTAACGACATTGCTCCGTCTCTCTGTCTGAATTAGCTCGTTTTCCTATCCATTTCTCTCTCACTTGGCTGAGCAGGGCCACGACGACCTTTCAACGACGAATCGAAAAATCCAAGGAGCCCTTGAAACTTTTATTGGGTCGTAGGCAGCGAGCTTTGTTTGAACGAATCGAATCTAATCTAGACCTTTGGTATTGTTTGGCGTGTCAATAAATCAAGTTACAATGAAGA